TTTTTTTTTTTTAAACAGTTGCCCAATAAAGCTGAATTAATGTTTTCCTAAAGAAAATTGAGTTTTTATTGGTTTTGTTTGGGGATTGAGTAGCTTGGCAGTTTGAAGTCTCAGGGTGAGTTTTATAACGGAGAGGAAAGGGGAGTTTAGGGCTTTGGTTTTCCTGGGGTTGATCTTGCTGGTGCATCCATTATACCTTGTCTCTGCTAACATGGAAGGTAAGTGTGTGGATTTGTTTTTCTTGGTGTTTGTATCTGCTTCTTGCAATCAAGGACAGAGGATACTTAGGGTTCAAGGGTTATGGCCCGAGTTATGGAAGAGTATATATGTATGTATTTGTTTTGTTATACACATCAGGCGTTTGATCAATTATTTCATTGAATGCACTTCCTCTTTTAGATTTTATTTTGTGTAGTGCATACCATGTTGAGTTTTTTTTTAGCAACAATTAATTAACTTAATCTCTTTAATTGTTGATTAATTTACACACAACTAATTTGAGCTTCAAGGAAGTAATATTTATCATTTTGGGTATTTAATTACATATAGAATAGACTTAAAAAAGAAGATAGACTTATGGGATATGAACAGGGTCGAAGAGGAAAATATTTGTTTATCTTGAAATTAAAAAAATAATAATTTAGTACAAATTTTTAGTGAGGAATACTGTAGATGAAATCTTTAGTAAATTTATCTATATATGTTATTTTTAACCTATAATTTATAACACTAACATATTTATTTGTAATAGAAAAAAATTTTTGCAGCCCCTCTAAAATCTTAGTCAAGTCCGTACCTTCTCGCAATTCATTTCTGTTTTGCTTTTTCACGTTTTAGAAGTTTGATCCCTGTTTTTCGGCATGTGTTGATTTTTGTAAATGATTTTCATCCAGTCTTTCATGTAAGATGACTTAGGAATAATCTTTTGTGTTAAATTAGTTCTTTTTGTTTATTTGTAATATATAATATTGAGTGGATCTAGTTATTTAATATTAAATAAAAATTATATGAAAAACGATTCTTATATCACTATCCTTCTTTTATTTCTTTGAAAGGTCGGATCGAATCCGCTTATTCCAATGAGTATCTATTCTTTTTTGGCTATAATGGGCATTTAACTATTAATGATATCGTTGAATTATTCTTCTTCAACTTTTTTTGTTTTGTTTCTGAGAGTTAAAGTTTAAATTTTGAAGGACTTAATTTGATGAGATAAGGACCATTCTTTTTAGTGCAGCAGGCAAAATCTCATGGCTTTAAAATCTATTACATATTTTTTAGTTACTGTCCATGTCTCTAGATTGGTTTTTGTGTAGTTTAAAACTATTTCCTCTTCAATTGATTTTAAGGATGTATATCCATATCAATAGAATATATTTAAGAAAACTAGTTCCTTTTGGTATTAGTCTTAACACTTAAACCTGAACCCTACCTTGTAAAACAACAATCCAACCCTTGGAGTTAGAATCTATTACATTTACTGAAATAGCTTTATTAATTATTTTGGAATATATCTTAAGGAATATGATTTTCATAGAACGCCCTCTATCAAATGCTCAGATTATGATTTTGTGTACTTCTCCCTGCCAACTTAACTGACTAGTTAGTTATTTATTTGCCAGAAGTTCCATCCATGATTTGAATTCTTGTTACCATCTGTTGTCTCCTACAATTGCTAAAATTCTTATTTACATTTGATTTCATCTCCTGTAAAACTTCGAAGATATTGTCTCTGCAACTTTTTCATGATCAAGCAAGTTGCTTCAAGCAATGATTTTTTTTTTTTTTTTTCTAAACCCTCGATGTCCAAAAACAATGTTAGAATTGGATTTATACAAGGTTAAGTCATGTCATACCCTACAAGAACAGACTATCTTAATGTCTGTCTCTTCTTTCATAAGATTTAAATTTGAGATCTTATTTAAGGAAACCAAGCTCTTAGTGATGCATTCATTTGTTTAGTACATTGCTAGTAGTGGTTATGGGGAATGGACATTAATATATTTTCTAGTTAAACCTTGTGTTTACTTCTGTTATGGTACGTATTCACCTATTTTGCTAATTAATTTAATCTCAAGTGTTAAACGCTTATAGCATTTCTGTGCTTCAAATAGTATCCATCATTCAACGTGATTTGTCAAATGACTCGCACCTTTTCCCATTATTTGGTCTTAATAATTTTTATCTGTGGAGGACATGGTATTCAAAGTTTTGCTTAATAATTTTTCCATCATACCAAATTTGGGTGAAGGTAATCCCACTGGTGCAATTGCTGGAGAAATCGCTGGTGGTGCTACCTTACTTTTTATTGTCCTAGCAATTGCATTTGCACGGTGGCGATGGAGGAAATCTCAAGAATCTATCTATAATGTACCCGGTTAGTTTTCTTTGGAAATTCACTGCATTCAAATTCAATTAAAACAAGGAAACTAACTACCTTCATCATACATTTCCACTTCTATACAGATGAAGGGGATCCAGAAGTCCTTCTAGGGCAGCTTAATAGGTTTTCACTACGAGCATTACAAGTTGCCACAAATAATTTTAGCGATAAAAATATTCTGGGTAGAGGTGGATCTGGAAACGTTTACAAAGGACGCTTAGCAGATGGTTCACTTGTGGCTGTAAAAAGACTAAAAGAAACGCGCACACCTGGTGGTGAGCTGCAGTTTCAAACAGAAGTGGAGATGACCAGCAGGGCTGTGCACCAAAATCTTATAAGGCTGCGAGGCTTTTGTATGACTCCAAAAGAACGATTACTTGTATACCCCTATATGGCTAATGGAAATGTAGCATCATGTTTAAGAGGTAAATCATGTTAACATCATACGCATCATACCTCTATGAGTGATTTGTTGTTATCACTTGTTTGTTGAAGTATTTTTTGTAACCAACTTTCCACACAAACTCTTTCATCTTCTAATGTTCTGATAAAACATACCTGTAGAGCGTCCTTCATCACAACCTCCTCTTGATTGGCCAACTAGGAAGCAAATTGCATTGGGATCTGCTAGGGGTCTATCATATTTGCATGATCACTGTGACCCAAAGATCGTTCATCGTGATGTGAAAGCTGCAAATATTTTGTTGAATGAGAAGTTTGAAGCTGTTGTTGGGAACTTTGGGTGGGTTAAACTAATGGACTACAAGGATACCCATGTACGTACTGCTGTGTGTGGCACAGTTGGACATATTGCTCCAGAGTACATCTCTACTG